AAACACAAGTTTCCGCTTCAAAAATCGTTTTCTTAAAAAGATATTCAAATTGAAATCAGCTCTTATAGGATGTGACAATCAAGATAGCCATATGAATAGCAAGGCTAAAGTCTACGAACCGATTTCAGCAGAAGAACATAGTGTGTAGGAGTGTGCATTGTAGCTTTGATGTTTAAAGTTAAGCCAAGACTCTCACACCTATATCAATGCATACACTAATAGTCATGTCGAAACTGACATCCACACCCACACCCTGAAATTTTTGGCCTTTTCAGTTCTTCCTTGGGAATGCACTCGAGTTATGTTTCATTGAAATCCGTGACATCCATCGGACAGAGTTGGTTGCTTGTATCTTGTACTATCACTTACATATCTTATATTTGTTTTGATTTTTTATGTTTTGTAGTCAAAAGACATTGATCTATCATTGACAAACAATCATTGGGAATCAACTTTCAGCAAAAGTTCACTTGGACTGGTACAGGAGAATAACTTTGTGTGATCCTATGAGATAATTCTATGAAATTTATATCTTTAGATTGAAACATTAGGAAGTCAATTTGAAGACAAAGAAAAAAAGAGACAGCGTCGAAGGTAAATTCTTAATTGTGTCAAAATTTCTCTAAATTAAATATGTATTGATGATTATGAAGACGTCCCATGTTCATGATGACGCATCGTTGTTGTTACATATTAATAGCTGCCGTTTTTGGTGCCATCTTGCTAGCAGCTGTGATAGCGGCTATCGTCATTATTAGTACGTAGTGAAATATTAAACAAACAACTTCACTTTAAAGTTTATTGATACAAAGTTTTGTTGATCATTCACTGGTGATCATGAAGGCTATAATGAGAAACGAATTGATCTTCTGTTTTATTTTCATAGTATTTTAATGATGACCATTAATAGGAACAAATTATGATAGACACTTTGTTATTAAGTCATCATGAGTCATGTTTTCTATTCATCATACTCAATCTTTATCTGAAAAAGATTTATTTGTTCAAGTTCGGAAAGTTGAACTGTTCCAATAATTTTAGTTGAAAGTGACACAAGAATAATCTTTATGAGATACCTTAGAAAACGTTTACTTCTCACGTCTCGTATGATATCAATAAAAATTTATTAAATAATTTGCTTGAATTACTTGGTCAGATAAGAAAACTATTATAGATTGCGTATAGGTGCAAAGCTTGTAGAACAAAACTGTCTACCTAAACACTTTCACATTTCGACAAATCTTTCTAATATCTTAAGAATTATACATACCCAGGGCGAAGAATCCCGGGTTCGGATCCCATCGGATCCTATAGGATATCCCGTGTGATCCGATAAATTCCGACGGGAATCCGGCAATTTCCGACAGCTTCCGATAGAAATCCTATCGGAAATTGTTGGAATCTTTGGTATCGGATTCCGATAGAAAGTTGTTGGGTGTCGGATCCGACAGCCAAATCCGATAGTTGGAAAACGTCGGATACCCTCGGAATTCTATGAAAACCTGTGAATTTGTACCTGAACGTTATATATTGTTGGATCTCCCTCCTACTTCCTTTCTGAACTACATTGAGCTGCATATTAGTAGTTTAAGTGTAGTTCATTTTAACTCTTTATTCAGTGCAAAATGAAATAAAGCAAATAATGTAAATTAAAAAATTTACAAAAAAATAAAAATAAAATTTAATAAATAAAAGCAAGTCAAAAGGCTGCAATAAAATTTAAAATACACTAAAATAAATATAAAATTAAATTAAAATAAACTAAAATAAATAAAATAAAAATAGGATAAAATAAAACTAAAATAAACTAAACTAAATAAACTAAAAATAAAATAAAATAAAACAAAATAACATAAAACAAAATAAAAGAAAAGAAAAATAGGACAAAAGAAAAATAAAATAAATAAAATAAAATAAACTAAAATACGACAAAATAAAAATAAAATAAACTGAATAAAATAAAATAAAATAAATAAATCATAATATTAGTATATTATATGTTTCAATTAAAAGATTAAGGTTTCTGGGAGAAGCGGCCCGTAATCTGAACTGACAGAAAATGGTCAACAACGACGGTGGATATTGTCGGACCCGGCAAGATCCAGTTGTCGGATCCGACAGGATCCAGTTATCGGATGGCATCAGATCCTCTTATCGGAATCCTAGAGAATCCGTTGTTGGAAAACGTCGGAAATCAAGGGATATAACTGGGTTTCCGACTGTCGGCATCCGGTCGGATCCGACAGTCGGATGATGTCGGATTATTTAGGGATCCGATAGGATCCTATTGGGGTGCTTTGCCCTGGGTAGTTTTGATTAAATTTCATCTTAAATACATTCGTTTATCTTTAACGGTTTTCTTTCAAAAACTGCCGTGATAGCTGAACCTTGGCTTATCGATTGCTTTTATAATCTAAACAACAAAATCTGAAATATAGAAGTTCAGTGTCTTCCGATGTTATCAGAAAAGTGCTGAGGACAAGAATCAGAGTACAAATTTAAGTGATCTTCTAGTTAAATATAGAGTCCTATTCAACAATCCTAGAATATTTATGGTATGGTGATACATAAAAGTTTATTTCAAACTTAAAATAAAGGCTAAAATTCACTTTTTTTCAAATTTGGTTGCGATAAAAGCTGTTGCTACTTACTATGTATGTTAAGGAAAAAATGATCGACATGCAAACGAATTCCACACTGTAAAATGTTGTCAGCGAGATTTGATTTCGAAATTTTCAGTATCTGTTGAGCCATAAAAGGCACTGTATATATCGAGCACAAAATTAGTTTTACTAATAGTAGTAGTAGTAACCATAGGCGATCGAGGTGTAAATTCAATCACTTAACCTATTTGTTTTGATGAGCTAATAACATTAGGAAAACACCAGAAAGTCGATATGGCGAAAGCCTTAAATTACTAGGCTTGTGTCAATCCTTATCAAATTGTTTCCAAATAAAGCCATTGAATAATCATCTAACTATTCAGATGATTCAGCATATATATTATATGCTCCATTCTCATTGCTAATACACAAGGTCACTTATGCAAAGAGACTGATAGCTAGCCTTTTTGACTATTTTGTCCTGATTGTTTCAAAAATAATAAAGTGTACGGAAACTATGTTCTAGTGAATCTAATCAGACGCAAATGAAATCATCATTTGAGATTCACAAAACGCTTTATATTAGTTGAGTATTGAACTTTTTTCTCGTCTTTAAATAATTATTTTTAAATAACTCATTGTCGAGCTCGTAGTATCCTAAACCACGAGATTTCGATCTGTAAATCTAGAAGGTACTACAGAATATGCATTGATTCACTCAAGTGCAATGCGCAGCATTTTAATCAAAGTATAATTGACTAGAAAAAAGTAGCTCTTAGCCCCATATAGTATAGAAAACTAACAGACCTCATGAATAGAAAACGAGCAGATCGAATTAAAAGAATTTCCTTGATGTTTCATTAGCTAAACAAAGCGCTGTTTCAACTACGACCTCAACATCATGTAAGTATATATTGACATTTAATCATAAAGCAAATATATCACTTTGAAATTTTTAGCTACTAGTACCAGTGCAACCACGACGACAGCCACAACAACGACAACGACAACAACAACGACCTCGACAACGACAACAACAACGACCTCAACAACAACTACGGCTTGCGACATTTGTTAGTTCATTTACATTATATGCTTGCATGTAAGAAGTATGATCTGTCACTTTAGGTACGACTAGTTATTCTTGGAATCAAACAGGCATAATTGTGGCCGATACTAGTTCTAATCCAATTTCGGAACCAAGATGTGTTTATTTTAAAGGAAATAATACAATTTATCTTTGCGGTCACCAAGTTGGATACATTGAAGCATGGGTTGTAAATGCGGCTAGTCGAACTGTAGTGACCAGCAATACTGTAGATCATACTGATTATATTACTTTTGACAAAGATGGAACTATGTATACCAACGACCATAACAGTGATCTTGTGAAAAGTTTTGTGTCCAATTCTTTAACTGGGACTACCATTGCCGGATCAGGTTCATCTGTAAGTGGTACTCTGAACCGCCCAACAGGTACTGCTGTCAACGAGAACCTCACGCTTTACATCGCTGATCGAGACAATGATCGAGTGGTGAAACTCGATAAAAATGCAACTAGCATTGTTACTGTGATTAATACTAATGGTGTCATTTCCAAACCATCCGCACTTTTACTTAAGTCCTCCTCATCGGATCAAATATATATTAGTGACGAAAGTGGCCAAGGTGTATATTTGTGGACATTTGGAGCAACAACACCGAGTAAAACGCTGACTAGTGTCAATTGTAATAGCACTCTTAATAGTCCGAGAGGAATCAAATTGGATACGGATGGTAATTTGTATGTTGCTGATCAAGACAACAAGCGAGTAGTCATGTTTTGCGTCAATTCAACCGAGGGGAATGTTATATTACGTTTTAATGACAAACCAATGGACATTGCTTTGGACCCGAATCTCAATTTGTATGTACTATTGGATACTGGCAAGTTATACAAACATCAATTACTGTAAATGAACTTTGAACATTTTCTCTAATACAAATGAATATGAACTATTATGAATGCGCACTTGTGTGAATTGTTTTTGTGTTTTATATCACGATAATTACAATAAAGAGTTCAGTTTTTATGCCAGGCTATTAGATAGATTCAACTCATAGAATAAAATCCTTGTTTTTTTTTAAAACATTCCTTCTGTTAAAGATATTTTTTCTCATATTAATTAAACAAAAGAAAAATAGACGTATTTTTACAGCATTTGTTTTCGTTGACGACAGTGTGAGTATGCTCTTCATTTACACCTACAGCCGCACCCATATAATAGACATCTAGACTCGCAGCTACTGCAATATCAAATCACCAACACATATTCATACTCACCATCCCTCATACTTACATTGAAATGACAAACAACAATATATATTTCTCAAATGATATTTTAATAATTTCCGATTACATCAAATACTGATTTGATATTGCGTGCATACAAGAAAGAGTGAGTTATCGCATCATAATTAAAAATAACATGAAAGAAATGAGAAAATAAGAACGAGAAAAAAAAATGCTCCAGTTGATATTATTTTTACCATACACAAATTAACGAACATTGATTATGTGTTGTGCAAGATTGATGACGTTAATATTCGTTTAGCATCGTATCATTGCATCAGTTGTTTTTAAACTATTTATACTACAATAATAATTCATTTCTTATTTAAATTTTAACTCTTCTTTTTTTTTCTTTTCAAAACATTAAATAATATGAATTTTGTTCTTCAACTTTGGCTCTATGCAAATGAAAATAGTTTCATTGGAAAACTTGGATTAAACATATCGAATAATAATCATATCAACGAAAGTCTTCTATCTAAATTAAATGTTTCCACCATCGTCATTCTTGATCATTCTGGTTCAATGAGTGATACTCTACCGAGACTGATGAATAAAATAATCACATTAATTATATTTGAAAGTAATCTAGAGAGTATATGTCTTTATTTTTTCTTATTGTTAATAGTTTTTGTGTATACACATATCCAATCGGTTGCGCTCTAATTCAAAACTAAAGTCGCATATGATTATTTCGCATGTCAGAGATAAGAAAAGGAATTTTTATAAAAATTTCTAGTTTTTGGATATTCCTGCAAAACTATCAGTGTAGCTCAGATTTTTTTGGATATAAGCACCAAAATAAACATGGAACTGCTTTTTCCACAGTTTCACACGATAGAAGACACTTTTTGCCATAAAATAAAAGATCTTTGAAGCCTGAAAATCATTCTGTTAGCAAGAGAACATCATTTTTAAAATCAAAATTCTAGAAATCAGCAGTTTTAAGGATACCCCCTTTTTTCGAGGTTTCTGGAGAACGGCTCATCAGAAAAAAATTGAAATTTTCACGACAGGTAGATCTTGATATGTAGAGTAAAAGTTGTCATAGACTCAAAGTTTCTAAATGTTGTCTTCTATGAGATAGTTGGATCACAATAGCAAAAAATGGTCCCAATTTTCGCCCCCATTCCTCCCAGATGCTACATTCTATCAAGCTGAAACTTTTTTTTGCAGATACTAGACACTGTTTTGTTTGGATATTTCTTGTTGGTTTCTCCTTATTTTTTTTCCTTCGAACAAAAAAAGTTAAAATATCGAAGGCACCCTAAAGAACGCAAGTATTTTTGAATAGTGGTTTTCTTTTATAAGACCTACAAAAAGTCAACAGATTGATATTTTTTGAAACAAAAAAAGAATGCCCACTCAAAAACAGTGTCTAGTATATGTGAAAAAAATTTCAGCCGATTGGACTTATTACACCGGAGAAATCGGAACGAAACAGTACTTTTTCTATTAAAAATTTGATTTTGAGAAAAATGCGAAACAAATTAGAAGTTTTGCTACTTTCGTTATATAAATTTGATTTCGTCAACAATTTTTTATAGTTTAAAGATAATATTCGAGTCCCAAAATATAGTCAGTAAATAGATACCACATGAGAATATAAAGTGGCCACAAACAACCGAAAATTTTGAGCCAGAAAAGGGGGAGGTACCCTTAAGCCAAAGCAGAATGGTTGTCAGGCTTCGGATATGTTTTATTTTGTAGCACAATTTATTTTGGTTGTTATACCCAAAAATCTGAGCTAGACTAACAGTTTTGTAAGCATATCCAAAAACTACAAATTTTTATAAAAAATCTCTTTTCTCGTCTCTGATATGCGAAAGGAGCATATCTCTTTCGGGTAGAACGCAATCAATTGGATATGTGTATACACAAAAGCTATTAACAATAAGAAAAAGTAAAGACATATATTATAAAAACGTTAAAAAAATTGGGTTGTCTTATATTTTTGGCCAGCACCTCATAAATATAGTAAATGTTTTTTTTTATTCATATCTCAATCTGAGTCGTATGTACACTTTCAGTAAAAAAAAACTGAAGTATTAAGAATATTTATTCTTTAACTATGTAGTAAAAATAAGAATGGATAATAAAATTTTATTTTCTAAAATTCGAATTCCCACAAGGAAGTGGTTTCTGTTGCTATTTTCTGAGCGAATTCGAAAACTTATTCTTCAGACATATATATTGATGATCACATGAGACACTGGTTGCAGCTCCGAGACATCTTCCCTTCAGATCGAGCGAGATCGATAAAACTTTATTAATCGATATCAAAAGACTAAAATCAAAAATGAAATCTATATCTGTAAAACTAGACTATCAGGATTAAATGGCGCAAGTTCAATTGATTTGTTCTCAAAAAGTAATCGATTCTATTCTGATATTTCGTCAATATTTCTTACATGGTTTTTGCACTTTTAGAAATTATTTTCGCAAAACAAATATACTTTTAATAGTGTCATTCGAAGTTGGGCCGAGTAGGACTGGATACAAAAAAAAAAGAATTCTTTTTCAAATAACTGTATACTACATTTGAATTTCATTATGAAACTCTGTGGATTTTTATTGTAAAGTTCAATCAGTATAATGGTGACA